GTGTGTGTGTGTGTGTGTGTGTGTGTGTGTCAGTTTGAGCAGGTATGCAGCTTGCACAGGTGTCACTGGGAGCCATGGATGTGTGTGTGACATCACGGTCTCATTGTGAAGCACAGAGGCAACACAACATCAACACAATTCTCATCAGGTGCAAGAGTAAAATAAAATATTAATTCAATATAATTCAATAAATACAATAAAAGGCTGAAAAGTCAAAAAGCGATTAAGTTGAGACTCTCACCAGAGATAGATGAATAAAAAGAAGCCAAAATAAATTATTGAGGGTGTTTTTACGCCAAGCTTCATGTGTTTGTTCCAGTTTTTCCATTTGTTAGTTTGAGTTTCACATCGTAATTCAGGGAGCTGAAGAATCTTGTCTGACACACGTCCTGTCGTCTGCTTATGCTTGATGGATTTGTCGACATTGGTTTGCTGCATGAAAACTTTGGCTCTGACACACAATCAAAGGAAGGATTCATAAAACGTGACTGAACTCTGAAGTCTCACTTGTGGGAAGGGAAAAAAAACTCTATGACCAAATCTTTTCCCCTGGAAAAAAAAAAGGGTGGATGAATAAAGGAGCATGTCTGTTGAATGTGTTGACTGTGTCTAACGTGTGTGTGTGTGTCCGGACACATCTAATGACTTATCAAGATGGAGCTAAGATAATGATTTCACTGCGATCCAGACTCTGAGGTCAGACAAACTGTTTCCCTCTGACTAGACTGAAGTAATTCATCCATCAGACAGTGAGAGGTGGTTAAAAGATGAGTTGAGTGAGTTAAAGTCGGACCATCTGTCTGTCGGATCCTCTGAAGGCTGCGTCTTTCCACTTCTATTTATTCCACGTGTGTGATTCCTCTCCTCCCACTACCCTGCTTCCCTTTTGAAAACCTCACTGAGCGTGTGCTTCCGTGTGAGAGTGTTAATTAACTTCCTGTCAAATATCCTGACCTAATTAATGGACTGGTTTTTTTTCCCCCTCTCCTGTCCTGTTGCCAGCTTCCTGTGTCACCGCAGCCTGTTGCAGGATAGAGGCGAACAGCCGTCGCTCTCTCTGCAAAGTTCAAACGCGGGTCACACACTTCGACGACGCGCAACCTCCACACAACTGTTTGTCTGAAGCACAACTGTATCGACACTGAGATAAATCCCTCAGGATCGATAACTGAACAGAGGTTATCTCTGCATTGCTGTTTGTCCGTCAGCAAAATCTTTAAAATAACTACTGAACCCAATCGATCATAGCCTCTTAAATCATATTGAAACTAAAAAACCATCCTAAATTCCACGATGCATGAAGGAACATTAACAAACACGAACAGTGCCAGGCAAAATATATATCAATAACAAACATACAACATTTTAATGAGACAAAACTTTAATGTTTTGCACCTTTTATCACAACCTTATGGTTTGTAAGGACTTTATTCTCTGTCTATTTATTTTAAATCACAAGTGGCCATAAAAATCCACTCACATTTTAAATTAGCATTGTTTCGCTTCACGTGATGTCGTTTCTGTCTCTGCTGCCGTCAAGTAATGGATTCAACCTTTTTTTGAATTTGTCTCATTCATGTCTGGAATCTGAAAACAGGATTTAGACGAACACAAGAAGCTACACATTTTTTTAACTGAAACCCAGACTAGTGAAATTCTTTGACGATTACAGACACAAACACTGAACAGTGTCTGAGATACAGTTGACCTTTACGGTGGAAGGATAATAAATTCATGAAGAGAAATCAAATGGTCGCCGGAAGAAGAAAATTACATTCTGCAGCTGTAGGAATAATATTGTCGTCATCTAATGACTCTTACTGAATTCTTTT